CCCTACTGAAAACCAAGGCCTTAAATCCAAAACCACCCCCTCAACCTTAAACGCAAAATACCATAAACCTCTCTAAATCCTAAACCCTAAATCCCACAAACCCCCGTGAAGGGCTTCAAGGTTTGCGCCTCTTCGTCTTAGTAGCTCGGTAGGTAACCTGTAACCTTTTGGAGTTTCTATCATCCTACCATAGTTGAAAAAAGGCTAACCATTTTGAGGCTACTTAGAGGATCATGGGACTTAGTAAGTAGGGTTATAAGTAAGGCAGCTATAGCTATATCTGCTTATAGCCTTTGTTAAGGTGCTTGCAACCCTGCTTACGACGTGTCCTGATTCTCCAAGTAGACCCTAGATACTAAGTCCGATTAGGATACTCAGCCTTTTAGTTGTCAAGGTCGCAGAACTGCTGCGGGCGAGGGCTGGGGAGCTGCCACCAGAAGGATGGGTTTAGAGCTTTAGGGTTTTGGGGTTTAGGGTTTAGGGGTGGGTGGGTGGGCGGGTGGGGCTGGGGTTCAGGGAAAGGGATATGTGGCGTGATTAGGGGCTTTTGTGTTTGGGGATTTCGTGTTGGGGTTTAAGTTTCAGGGGCTGACGACGGGGTTCAGGCTTTACTTTTCGGCTAGTCATAACATAGTTTCGCAGGGTTTGATACTGTAGTGTAGTTTGGGGTCCAAGAATGATGCGCTTTGAACCCTTCAACCCTGAACCCTGCACTTAAAAAACCGGAAAGCCCCGAAGCCACAAAGTCGAAGCTTAAGGTAAAGGCCTTAACATTTGGACTCTAACGCTTTAGGGCGTAGGGTTTAGGGTTTTGGGTTTAGGGTTTAAGATTTAGACTTAGTAGCTGAGTGGATGGACTTTACACTTTTTGGAATTAGATTACTCACCATAAAACTGAAAGTGTACACTTTCTGGGGCTTATGGACTCAGCAACTATGTACAAAAGGGTTTGGGGGTACATTATACTGTAACTCTAAACCCTAAACCCTGCAACCCTAAACCCAATAAGGAACACCCAACACCCTGTTCTAACTATTATAGCCTTTATATTATAATACCCTTATAGTAAAGTATCCCTTAGAGTAGCCCGTATAGAACCCTTTTAACGGAACCCCATTCTAATTATTCAAGTAGAAGCCAGAAAGTTGGAAAATCATTATCCTCATTCCCTTCAGGTAACCGTTTAGGAAATTCCAGCACTAATCGTCCTAAACCCATGTTCCAGCTTTCTGGGGTTCACTATAAACCCCAAGCCCCCTTAAACCCGAAACGCTAAACCCTAAAAACCCTATTCTAGACCCGTATAGACGCCTTGAAAGGAACCCTATTCTAGTAATGAAGGCACCCAGCTCACAAAGCACAAAAGCTCTCCAGGGGCTCTCGGTTTCTGAGCGTTTGGGGTTTGGGGGCCTAGGGCCTTAGGATTCAGGGACTAGGGTTCCTTTAAATGGGGTTTAGGGCTTGGGTCTAGGATTCAGGGTCGAGGTTTCCTTTAAAGCGGGTTTGGTGCTTAGGGTCGAGGGTCGAGGGTTCCTTTAAATGGGGTTTAGGGTTTAGGGTGTAGGATTCAGGGTCGAGGGTTCCTTTAATGGGGGTTTGGGGTTTAGGGTGTAGGATTCAGGGTCGAGGTTTCCTTTAAAGGGGGTTTAGGGTTTAGGATTCAGGGTCTAGGGCTTAGGGTCCAGGGTTTTGCTCTTTACGATGGAGGGTTTTGACTCTACCTTAAGGCCCTTGGGTGCTCGTTTGGTGTGTTGTTTTTTTGGGGGGGTTGGTATAGACGCCAAATTCATCACCAGCATTATCGGGTTCCTTAGTATTGTTGTAGTATAACAAAGCCCTATTCTAGATATCTAGAGTATGGGATTTCTAAAAGTCAAAGCTTGGAGGATCAGGGCAACCCCAGTGGGGTTCTTTTAACCAGACTTACTTACAAGATCATGGGACTTAGTAACTACTAGTAGGGTTGTAATTAGGGTAACTATACTTATAACCCCAATTAAGCTATTCATAACCTTACTTACTAAGTCCCATGATCCTCCAAGTAGTCCCCTGAACCTCTTAGTACACCAGACCGGAAGGGCCAACCTTGCCGTGTACGTGGTAAGGCAGAAACCCGAAAGCCTAAGTGAATTAGGGTCGAAGGCTTAGGGAAACCTTGACCGCTAAAACCCTAAACCCTAAACCGAACTTGAACTCTAAACTCGAAGCCCTAATCCAAAAACCCCTAAACGGCTAAACCCGGGGAACAGATCCCACTCCCCAAAACCCTAAATCATAAATCCTAAACCCTCAACCCACGGATTCAAGCCTAGACCCTGGGGCCCACAGGCCCTTTAAACTAGGCCCCCAAGAAGGCGCATAAGCAAAAATGAGGATAGGGATATCCCATATAGATCCCCTTATTATGAAGCCCAATAAGGTAGGGATATCCCTATAAAATGCTTATGCTTATGTGCTCTTTGGGTCCCTCATAAGCCCTAAACCGTGAATGTGTCGGACTTTGATGGGTTCATGTCAGACAGGCAGACTCAAAAAACCTCATTGCTGAACTGCACCTAAAGGATCCGTGGATAGAGTCGCTTTAGGGTTTAGGGCTTTTGGAGTTTATATAGGGTCTGGGGTCTTGGGCTTTGGGTTTAGGGTTTTGGGTTTAGGGTCTTTGGGTTTGGGGTTTGGGGCTTTGGGCTTTAGGGTTTAGGGTTGTGTCGGGTTTTGCGGCGTAGGTGTTTGGGGATTTAAGGTCTTAGGGTTGAGGGTTTTGGCATGTAGGGTTGAGGGTTTTAGGGTTTAGGGTGCCGGGTGTTTAGGGTTTAGAGATTAGGGGGCCAAGCAGGGGCTTTGCAGACTTTGATGAGGAGTTTAACGGTTGACAAGAGAGACTCCAATATCCCTTCATTGAGGAATATACCTCAAATTTAATCAGGATCCCTAATATGATTTAAGGAATATTCCTTAATTCATGGATATTGCAGTGTCTGGGGACACAGGATTTGGATTTCAGATAACCTTGGTTAGGTACCTCCAATTCGATGTACTCAAAGTCGACTCTAAGTACCCCAAACCCAAAACTCTAAACCCCAAACCCTGGACCATGTACCCCCAAATTCCCAAACCCGGTCAGCCCTAAATGTCGAAACCCCCGGCACGTGAACGCCAACACCTGGGCTGGCGAGGACTCGTTGGAGCCGTCCGCTCCCTGGGTGTTTGGGGTCAGGGTTTAAGGTTTAGCTTCTGGGTTTTCAGGACTTTGGGGCTTAGGGTTTTGTTTGACTTTGAAACATAAGGTCTAGGGCCTAGGGCTCATGCAGAGCAAAACTCCAAGAACACCCCCTCACTGCACCGGTTTTCGGTTTGCCGCGTCAAGGATGGTTTACCCAAAACCCTAAACAACCTTAAATCGTAAACCCTAAACCCTAAACCCTCGAACTCTAAACCCTAAACCCTAAACCCCTAGACCCTAACGCCCTAAACCTTAACTCCTAAACAGTTTGGGTCTTGCCATCGTTAGTGGGCTCCTCCTCCCCTAGACTTCACCCCTGCGGACCTAACAGCCTGGCCTCCCCTTGAGTAATCTTCGTCTTCCCCAGCCTGTACACTCAAGCAACCCAGACACTCCAATATTTCTTAATTAAGGAATATACTGTAAATTATAATAGGATTCCTAATATCTTTAAAGGATTTTCCTTAATTAAAGGATATTGGAGTCTCTGGCAAGCTTCACCGTGTAAAGTCATCTCAAGCGCAGGGGATTGAGTCCGGTGGAAGAGGGTTTAGGGTGTAGGGCCAGCCTAAACCCTAAACCCTAAACCGGGGTGTAGGGCAGTGTAGGGTTTTGGTTGACCAAGAGTCTAGAAACAGGCAAGTTCCTGTTTTTAATGCAGGCAGTGGCCTGTAACGACCTTGTTCCCAGAGACTCCAACATCCCTGAATTAAGGAATATTCCTTAAATCATTTTAGAGATCCTATTATAACTTGAGGCATATTCCTTAAATAAGAGATATTGGAGTCTCTGGGTTCTGGGGGTTTAGAAACTGGAGTTTATTCTGCTCCCAGCTCTGCTCCCATGCCAGCTTGAAGCTTGTGGAAGATGAAAGTTTACGGTTTAGGGTTTAGGGTTTAGGGTTTACTGCATTGCACCTGCCTGAAGACCCCTAAACCCTAAACCCGAAAGCCATTAGTCATGACCTGCGCGACTGCAAGCCTTCTGCCCAGGCAGAAACGTAGTCTACTATTTGCTTAAGAACCCCCAAAAAATAAAAAATATATTCCTTATAGGGATAATATAGGGATTATAATTTTTTATTTTTTGGGGGTTCTTAAGCAAATAGTAGTAGTTGTAAGGTGCCAGGTTATTGCAGGTTAGAGTTAGAGCTTGGAGAGCTTAGAGCTTCGGATCTAGGGTTTAGGGTTTAGGGTTTTGGGGTTTAGGGTTTAGGGTCTAGGGGTTTAGGGTTTTGGGTTTTGGGGTTTAGGGTTTAGGGTCTAGGGGTTTAGGGTTTAGGGTTTAGGGGTTTTGGGGTTTAGGGTTTAGGGTCTAGGGGTTTAGGGTTTAGGGTCTCGGGTCTAGGGGTTTAGGGTTTAGGGTTTTGGGGTTTAGGGTTTAGGGTCTAGGGGTTTAGGGTTTTGGGTTTTGGGGTTTAGGGTTTAGGGTCTAGGGGTTTAGGGTTTAGGGTTTAGGGGTTTTGGGGTTTAGGGTTTAGGGTCTAGGGGTTTAGGGTTTAGGGTCTCGGGTCTAGGGGTTTAGGGTTTAGGGTTTTGGGGTTTAGGGTTTAGGGTTTAGGGTCTAGGGTTTTGGGGTTTAGGGTTTTGGGGTTTAGGGTTTAGGGTTTAGGGTTTTGGGGTTTAGGGTTTAGGGTCTCGGGTCTAGGGGTTTAGGGTTTAGGGTTTTGGGGTTTAGGGTTTAGGGTCTAGGGTTTTGGGGTTTAGGGTTTTGGGGTTTAGGGTTTAGGGTTTAGGGTTTTGGGGTTTAGGGTTTAGGGTCGGGTCTAGGGTTTTCAATAATGCAGGTTTCCGCCTTTGTGCGCTATGGCCTTGATGGTACTTTCGTCGATGACCCGCATCATGAGTCAGGGGTGGGTTTTCGGCGAAGCATCATCGATGTAAACGAGTTTCAGATTGCGAAGGCGCTTCTTGCGGAACACACAGAGCTCCTGAGCCAAGAGGTTGATTCACGGCATTTGTTCACCATGTGCATGCAGTTTGGTCACGAGGAGACTGCCGCAGAGATGTTACGCCAAGGGGTGCCTGGTTGCAAGGTGGAGGCCTTTCATCTTGGACCATATGCTCTGCAACCCAAGTTCATCGGTGAACCTCTAGCTGTTAGCCTCCGAGAGGGTTGCGCATGCAGATTGCGGTGGACGACATGCAGGAGCTGTAGTTGGGGATTTGATCCAGGCAGCGGTGTGTGGATGCAGGATTGGTATGCAACGGTTGAAGATGCCCAGTGGTTTGCACAAGAAGCTGCTGCACGACCACTCTTTCGCACCATTGCGGAGGCCTTGAGAAGCGGCCACGGCATACCGGACTCCCTGACAGACTCAGCCAAGGCTCGCGTGCTGGATATCGCGGTTCTGGTTGGTGATGTCAATCTAGTGCACCGTGCCAAGCTTATCCAAAGGAGGCCTCTGCGAAGATGGCGATGGCAGGACTTCATCTACATGTCAAAGGATCTCTTGGTAGGGTGGGTTCAAGATGGACTTGATGTGAGAGAACCTGATATCTTAGAAGCCGCACTCATTGCTGGCAATTCTTTCGAAGGCCTTGAAGGTGGAGAAGCTTACTACCGCACTCCCCTGCGCGAAGCTGTTGCGTTGTCCGGACATCCGGGGCCCGGGCTAGAGTTTTGGAACGCGGTAAGGGATCTCTTGATGCCAAGTTCTGGCCAGCAAAGTCTGGGCCGCTACAACAACTTGATATCTTTTCTGCCCAGGATTTGTGATGCCCACTCCGCCTACGAGCAAGTCGTGGCTGCAAAGGAAGCAGGTCTCCACGTGGATCAGTTTGGGAAGTGCATCGTGTTCCTCGACTGCCCTTCATGCCAAGATGCAGGCAGTGCCGTCCACTTGACGCTGCTGGACTGGTCGATATACCGTGGACTAGCAGCATGTGCAGAGCTGTGCGCAGGCATGGACATTGGGCCTTCATGGTGGACGGCTTGGCTGTCGACCCAGGACGTGGCATTGCCATGCCTGAAATGTGGTGCAAGGCTTGAGGTCGTGTTTACTGGAGATGACCCGGCTCCGCGCGAGCAACGCCAAGCAGCCGCCATTGCATCTGTCAGGGCGGCCCTGGAGACGTCCCGGCAGCAGGCGTCGGTTGAAATGGGTGTAGGGCTCTTCCAGAGCCTACGCGCTTGGGGGCGTGAGACTGCTGTTTCCCGTGGCCTGCTCGTCAGATTAACTGCCCAGGTGCTCGCATTTGCTGCCAAGAGGCCTGCGATCTTTGAAGACGAGACTCTTGGGTCAATGCTGGCACGGTAGTCGCGAAAAGAAGATACCAGAGCAGCCATGTGAGAAAGCGACCTGCCAAAGATTCTTGTCTGAGATCCTTGCCAAAGTTCCATCTGCTATTTTGTGGCCCTGCGCACCCTGGACCCTTGTATGCTGGGTTTAGACGCCAAGTAATTGTGGAGTTTCCCTGTTGCGACTGTACGAAGGGAACGAGAGTACCACAATTCGTAAGGGCTACCGCAAGCATCCTCTCCATCCGCCTGAAAGGAATCTGGGCTCATGTATTGACCACTTAGGAATACTGTTTATTGGGGTTCCTCGAAACATGCCAATAAAGCCAGTTCTAGTTAAGAAAAGTTATAATGCAGTTAAAAAAATTCATCAGGGTTTAGAGCTTCGGGTTGAACCCTATACCAAAAGCATGGTACTACGCCAAACTAACGTTGAGAGGCAATCCTGCTAACCCTTCACGTCCTCAAACACAAATCTTGGTTCCACCATGGACCCTTATGGGAGTTTCCGAAAATTAGGGGTACCTTATTTGGGGTCCTTAGAATAAGGATCCTATTGTTTAGGGTACTATATTAAGGTCCCCCTTTTTTGGAAACTCCCTTATCTCTATCAGGCGTCTTTCAATCCCTATCAGTTTCTATCACAATATCAGACGCTATCCCCACCTCAAATTCTGACCTAAGACAAGGACCCTCAATCCTCAGCCCAAAGCCTAAACACTAACACCCATGCCCTGAACCCCAAAGCCTCAAAGCCTTCTGAAGCCAGGAAAACGGTAGTTGTCAAAATTATGGCCCCTTTTGGGGGTACCCTAAGCAATAGGTGCCGTATTATAATAGGGACCCAAAAAAGGGACCATAATTTTGACAACCACCCAAAACCCTAGAAAGCCCCGCAAACTCCTGGAGAACCGCCAGCATCAATCCCGCCCTATAGGACCCCAGAGACTCAAATATCCCATAATTAAGGAATGTTCCTTCAATCATATGAGGGATCCTACTATAATTTAGGGTACATTCCTTAATTAAGGGATATTGGGGTCTCTGGGACGCTACCTCCCTACTTGAAGGATCATGGGACTTAGTAAGTAGGGTTATAAGTACCTTAATTGGGATTATAAGTAGATATATCTATAGTTACCTTACTTATAACCCTATTTACTAAGTCTCATGATCCTCCAAGTACAGCCCCATAGCCCCCGGGCAAAGCAGAACCCTCGCCCTGCACCCGACATCCGCCTCAAAGGCCCTCAACCCTGAAACCCCGAACCCCAATATGGGGGTTTCCGAACATTAGGGGTACCTAATTTGGGGGTCCTTATAATTGGGATCCTACTATTTAGGGTACTATATTAGGGTACCCTATTTTCGGAAATCCCCATATACCCTAAACTCTAAGAAACCCCCAAACCTTAAACCCTAAATCCCAATAAAGGGAACTCCAGAAAGTTGGAATATGGTTTCAGGGTAGGGTACCTTATAATTGACCTTAAAGGGGTTACGATAATCATATTCCAACTTTCTGGCTTTTACTTTATACCCTAAACTGCAAGAAACCCCCAAACCTTAAACCCCTAAATCCCAATATGCCTAAACTCTAAGCCCGACACCCCTAAACCCCAAACCTCAAACCCTAAACCCCAAAATACCCTAAACCCCTAAACCCTGAACCTTCAACCCGTAAACCCTAAACCCTCAAACCCTAAACCCCAGTATACCCTCAACCCTCGCACCCTAAATCCCTAAACCCTGAACCTTAAACCTGAGAGCCCGAGAGCCCTAAACCGTCAACCCAAAAACCCTACAGTAGAAGCCCCCAAAAGTTGGAAACCCAATAGCCTCAATCCTGAAGAGCAATGTATAGGCAATCCCAGCACTATTTGGCCTTAAACATGTTTCCAACTTTATGGGGCTTACTTTAAACCCACTTCACAAGAGCCCAATACCTGTTAATTACGGATTATTGCTGAAATCATAATATGAAGCCCTGTATAATTGAAGCCATATTCCTCAATTAAGGGGTCTTGGGCTCTCTGGGAAGAGCCCCCTTTGAAGACTATACCCTAAATCCTAAACCCGAAACCCCTAAACCCTACACCCCTAAACCCTAAAACCCTAAACCCACTTCACAAGAGCCCCCCTTTGGAGTGAAGAGGTGGTCGCGCTGTCGCAGCTGGGGCCATGGCCGGCAGCCCTGGAAGTTGACTTTTTGGGGTTTAGGGTTTTAATGTTTGTTGGGGTTCAGGGGTTTATTGGGGTTTATTGGGGTTCAGGGGTTTATTGGGGTTTAGGGGTTTATGGGTTTAGGGTTTATTGGTTGAGGGTTTTGGGGGTTTAGGGGTTTACCTACCTTTGGGGTACAATTATAACCACTATTACTATCATTCTTCCATTTCCCACTAACCAAAGGTAAGTTTAGGGTTTATTGAGGCTTTTGCGGTTTATGGGCTTAGGGTTTATGGGGTGTTTAGGGGTTTGGGGGCTTAGGGTTTTAGGGGTTTAGAGTTTAGGGTTCTGTAGTAGCTGAGTAGGTAAGGGTTCCTGTAAGGGTCCCTCGAAGGGATCTTGAGGGGTGGGTACTACAAAGGGTCAAGGGTTCAGGGTCTATTTATCCAAGGGTAAAAGGAGGGACCCTTAATAAGGACCCCTAGGTTTTTATCCTTGATATAGCTAGTATATACCCATTAAATAGCCCATTATAGTAGAAGCCAGAAAGTTGGAACATCATTACCCTCATGCCCTTAAGGTAAAGTATACGGGATCCTAGCACTAATCCTCCTAAAGCCATGTTCCAACTTTCTGGCTTCTACTGTATAGGGTAGGGGTCCCCATTAAGGGTCCCTCCTTGTCCCTTTTGAGTCTACTTAACACCGCAGCTTCCGGGCTGAGTAGGTCGCTTTTAACAACCTCTTGGGGCTTCTATAAAAGTGGGAGTTCCCGAAAATTAGGGGCCTTTGAGGGTTCCTTTAAAGGGATCCTTGAAGGGTTCCTATAAGGGTTCTATAAATGGTTTAGGGTTTAGGGAGTTCCCGAAAATTGGGGGGTACCTTATTTGGGGGTCCTTATAATAAGGACCCTACTATTTAGGGTACTATACTAGGGTCCCCTGTTTTCGGAAGCTCCCAAATCCTAGCATACATGAAAAGGTTGAGGTTTTCCTGGGCGAGGGTACTGAGCCTCTCAACCCTAAATCCCTAAGTTAGGGAGGACATCGGGTTATGTTGTCTTAAAGGCAAGTCTTTTGGGTCGAAAGTTTCGGTTGGGGGATTTTTTGGTGAGCAGGGTTTAGGTTCGGGGAGTTTGGGGTTCACGGTTTAGGATTGGGGCATTTGTTTGCTTTAGGGTTTAGGTTGGGGCATTTTGGGCTTTAGGGTTCAGTCCGGGGGGTTTGAGTATAAGGTTAGGGGTGTAGGGTCTAGGGTTTTACGGTTTAGGTTTGAGGCATTGGGAGTTGCGGCTCAGGGTGTTGCGGCCAAGGATCCATAGGATCGTCGCCGCATGTCGCAGGATGTCAGTTCGGTATATTGACTTCACATACGTCACGTGCAGGATGCTTCCGCAATCGGAGAGCTTCCTGACGCATTTTTCAAAGCCCAACGTGCCTGTTTTGGCACTGTGTGGCCTCAGGCTGTGATGCTGCAGCCATTGGCTTGTTGGCCCAATATACTTAACGCTGCTTCCCGCCAAATTGTTGCTCAAGCTACTGTCCAAATCCCTTGAAGAGCACGCCAAGACAGAGCATGGCGACGGCGGAGGACCTTCGTTCTCAATCATTTCAATCGTTGTTTTGAGCTGGGTGGTATAAAGCTGCTGCATACCCTGACAAAGACTGAGCGTGTGTACCTGGTAAGTGCTCATTGCGTTGACAGGGGGCTCAGTAAGTAGTTGATAAGTAGAGCTTTAAGTACCCTAATTTTTTGCAACGCTACCAAGCCCACTGATCCTGCAACCCATGCCCTAAACCACTAGATCCCAAAACCTCACAAGCCCATAATCCCCTAAACCCCTGGCGCCCCTAATTCCGAAACCCCTGAACCCTCCTTAACCCCGTAAACCCTAAACCTAATCCCATGTAGAGCCCGTATGGAAGTCTTGTAGAACCCTTAAAGGATCGATCCAAGATTCCTAAACCCCAGAAACCCTAAACCTCTAAAGCCTAAACCCCAAACCCTGAAACCTATACCCTGAGCCCCTCAGTCCTCTGATAGCCCTAAGGTGACCGGCCTCAAGACCTAAATCTCTACATATGTATATATATACACATGTATATATATATATATATATATATATATATTCGTAACAAACCTCAAATGGCCTTTAAAGGCTCCCTCCAAGGAGCTCTGAACCCCCAAACCCCTAAATCCCTAAACTCCTCAACCCATAAATCCTAAACTTCTAACCCCTATAGCAAGCCAACATTGACAAAGGCCTCAAGATGAAACCCAGAGGGTTATAGAAGCCTGAGAAGCCCCTAAACCCTAAACCCCTCAACCCCTCAACCCCAAACCCTAAGCCAGTAAAACATAAAGCCTAAACCTCTAAACCATAAACCCCTAAACCCAACCATAAACCCTACACTCCCAAAGGACCTGAACCCCATTATAGATCCCTTTAAAGGAACCCGTATAGATCCCTTAAAGGAAACCCTTGAACCATAAAGCCTAAGCCGACAAAGGCCCCAGGAGCCACCGCCTGGCCGCGAGGTGCTCGAGGCACTCGGCGGATGCCGGGGACCCGCTCTCTGCCAAAGCTTGGCCTCAGGGGGACCCCAGAAACTCCAATATCCCTTAATTAAGGAACATTCCTTAAATCATATAAGGGATCCTATTATAATTTAAGGTATATTCCTTAATGAAGGGATATCGGAGTGTCTGGCTCTGCCAAAGCTTGGCCTTAGGGGGACTTGGGTTTCGGGGTTTATGGGTTCAGGGGAGGGTTCCTTTAAGGGTTCCTTTTAAGGGATCTACAATTGGGTTTAGGGTTAAGGGGACTTGGGTTTCGGGGTTTAGGGGTTTAGGA